ATTGATCACACCTGTCCGAAAACTGTAACGTGTCGCTCCGCGTCACCTCGTGGGCTAGGATCACCACAGTGTGTGTTACCACTGTGCTAACCATCTCATTCCAGGGCTGAACCGAATCACCGTGCTAGTTTCGGTGCTACCTTCAGTGGTAGTCTGTCAGATCATTTTTAGGTCGACAGCAACGATAGGAGACACAGTTGACTGGATAAACAGATGAGGTCTGAAAAATGGTCAATTCAAACCAATATCAGTTATGCCACACGAATCTTCACATGTAACTGTGAGTTGAAAGCGAACTATTCTCCAATATACTCCAACATTCGTGGGATTTCTAGAAAGGTTCCCCTTACGAGTTCCATTCTGTTTATTAGAGTATATTCCAAACAGATGATCCTCGCACTCTGTGGGAGACAACAAAATGAGGTTGCGCGTTTTAACAAAGTGGAAGGAAGAGTGGTTTGGAGGATTTGCGTACCATCCGATCCATCGTGGTTGTTGTTGTTGATTATTTTCCCGAATAGAAACAATAGGATAACAATAGAATCANTTTTAGCCACAACATGAGTACCAAAACACAAGATTTCGGTGACAACGTTTCGACCTTCTTGGAAGGCCTTTGTCAAGTCAGTTTAAACTGAGAAGGTCAAAACGTTGTCGCCGAAATCTCGTGCTTTGGTACTCACGTTGTGGCTAAAACAAACCTGATTCTATTGTTACCATGAGCACAACGCCCAAATTTTTCGAAATGATCCGGAACACCTATGGATTATCAACTGTTTGAAACAATAGGATGTTTGGTGAAAATAAACATCCAAAAACGGTAGGCTGTCGTTTTTCTATGTGCTTTAGTTGTAAACATGATTGATGAATTATACCACATTGGCATCGGACTCAACGTTATCCAGATATCGATGATTTTGTGAGCCACACAAAAGATGATGCGGCGTTATTATCTGGGACAATTGACAATCGTGAATAAGAAAGTTTATTCCAACTTGGCCACGCAGTTATGGACAAGAACTGGTTAGTTGAGACTGAATACGTTTTGATCGGATCTGAATGCCCAAAATATGAGCAGGTTTAAGCTTAATCGCACAATGCTGTCAAATGACGCAGAATACCATCATGAGGAATTCATGACTTAATGAGCTAGTTGGAATCAACCCAACAAGAATGTATAATGCGCTTGAAGTCAGCGTGAAATTAGAATAAGCGTAAAAATACTTACCTTCAACAAGCAATAAACGCCCACGTATGAATGAGATTCGATTATACGCAAATTTATTCTCGTACAGTCCGCCCGCCCCCCCCCCCCCCCCCCCCGC